ACGCTCGCCCTGCGCCACGTGCGCGGCCGCGTCTTCCAGCTGCACGTGGCCCGCGAGTTCCCGTGCGCGCTGCCGCTCGGCGACGCCTGGCTCTCCCTGGAGACCCAGCACGGGCAGCTCGTCCGCTTCTACCCCTTAGACGCGCACGGGCTGTCCCCGGGCTTCGACGTGCCTGGCCTCAACACTTACCGGGTGCTGCGACTGCAGCGCAAGCCCGTGTTCAAGAGCCAGTGAGCCCAGGCGGCGTCTGCAGCCTCCAGCCCCCTCGGCCTGCGGGTTTCCAGCCCGAGGTGTGGGACGGGAGGCTGCAGAGATGCTGAGAATCTGAGTCCTTGGCAAGATAGGGTAGGAGGTGCTCCTTAAAGTGTGCTGGACCACAGCCAGTTTGCAAACCTTGTCCGTGTTGGAGGAGAAATTAAAAACAGAAATGTATTTATTTTTTTGGTACTGGGCATCAAACTCAGGACCTTGTGCTTGCCAGGCAGGCGCTTGTGCCACTGAACTATATCCCCGGCCAAGAACAGAAATTTAAAATGAGCACTCAGAAACTTTAGGAAGCATTTAGAAATTTTACTTTTGTTTCTACAGAACCTAAGACACCACGTAGGGTTATATGTTGTCTTTTAGCTCCCTTCCTCTGGGATTTTGAGACAAGCTCTGGCTACCTAGTCCAGGCTGGTCTCAAACTCAATCCTCCTGTCTCAGCGTCCTGAGTACTGGGATTTTAGGCTCCCGCACCCGGCTATATTTTGTCTGCTAAGAATAAACCATGTGAGAAGGTGTGGTGGTGCACACCTGTAATTCCAGCACTCCAGAGGCTGAGGCAGGAGGATCATTGCGAGTTGGAGACCAGCCTGGGATACATAGTGAGCTCAAAGCCAGCCTGAGGTGCATAGCGAGACCCTGTCTCTAAAAGACAAAATAAATAAATAAATAAGTAAACCATGTGGTGTAATAATTTACCTAAAATTAAATACACCACGGTATAGTTTGTTTGCAGTGCTGAAGGTGGAACCCGGAGCCTGACGCACGCCAGGCAAACCCTCTACCACTGAGCTACATCCCCAGCCCCATTTGAATGATTTTGACAAATATTTATACCCATCGACACAATCAAGATCCAGGAAATCTCCATCGCTCCCCGGAGATCCTCTCTACCCAGCCCTAGGCAACTTGGCTGATCTGCTTTCTGTCACTATAGATTAGTTTCGCCTGTTCTAGAATTTCATGTAAATAGAATCATACAGTGGGGTCTTTTGTGTCTCTCTTCTGCGGCTCAGCTTGCCGTTTAGGGGGTTCATGTGTGTGTACATATCAATAGCTCGCCCCAATTTATTCCACTGTATAGATATGCCACAACTTGTATATCCTTTCCCCTGCTGACGGACATTTGGGTTGTTTCCAGGTTGGGGCTATTGTGTAACAGCATTCTTGTACTAGTCTCTTCGTGAATGCGTGCTTTCATATCTCCTCGGTAAATTTCTAGCTGTGACTGCCACGCAGTTTTCCAAAGCCCTTGAACCATTTTATATCCCCAAACAGCAGTAAGACGGTTCTGTTGCCCACAGTTTTGGCTCCTGTGTGATGCTGTCAGTCTTTTTAATTTTAACCACGTGGGTGGCTGTGAAGTCGCATCTAGATCACGGTGGCTTTAACTGCGTTGTGTGTATTAAGTTGTAAAAGCTTTTATTTATTTTTTATTTCGGTGGTTCTGGGAGTGAGTGGAACCCAAGGCTTCACAGTGCGTTACACAGCCAGTCCTTTCTTATGTTTTAGTTCTGAGGCAGGGTCTTGCTAAATCACGAAGTTTCCCAGGCTGGGTCCAATTTATAGTCCTCCTGCCCCAGCCTCCCAGAGTGCTGGGATTACAGGTGTGTGCTGCCGCCCCCTGCCGAAAGCTCTGCACATACTCTGGTTCCAAGTCTGCTGTCAAATATAGGTATTGTACACATTTCTCCCCATTCTTAGGCTTGACGTTTTATTTTCTTAATGGTGTCTTTTGTCTTTTTTGTCTTTTTGAGACAGGGTCTCTCTGTGCAGTTCAGGCTGGCCTTGAGCTCACTTTGTAGCCCAGGCTGGTCTTGAACTCTCAATGATCCTCCTGCCTCAGCCTCCCAAGTGCTGGGATTACTGGCTTGTGCCACAGCACCCGATTTAATGGTGTGTTTTGAAGAGCAGAGTTTTAACATTTTGAAGAACTTTATGCCTATTGAATTCAATACAATATTTGGGCATACATTTTGTATATCTTTTTAAAAATTAATCTTTTTCATCTGAGACAATTATAGATTCTAATGCAAGGATAAGAAATAATTAGTGCACTTTTTACCCAGTTTTGTCCAATGGAAAATCTTGTAAAACAATTGCAAGCAAGATATTGATGTAAGAATCAAGATTCACAATATTTTCCCTAGCACAAGAATCCCTCTTTGCCCTGTTTTTGCTCATACCCACTTACCACCCCCACCCTGTCCTTCACCCATGACAATGGCCAGTGTGTTCCATTTGTAGAACTCTGTCCTTTCAACAGTATTGTATAAACAAATTCAGACAGTATGTAAACTTTTGGGATTCCTTCCTCCTTACTGCAATTTGGCGGGGGTGGGGGGTCATTTCAACTTGTTGCAAGTATAAATAGTTTGTTTCTATTTGCTGCGGGGTAGTGGCTCCATGGATGTACCAGCCATGGACGTAGTACAATTTGTCTAACCATTCAAAGGGACATCTGGGTTGTTTCCAGTTTGGGACTGTTTTGAGTAAAATTGCTCTGAACCTTTGTTTACAAGCCCTTGGGTGAAGCTGTTTTTATTTGTCTGGGATAAGTGCCTGGGAGTGCAGTTGATGTGTCATGTGGCAGTTACACGCTTAGTTTATTAAGAAACGACCACCCTGTGTTTTCCAGAGTGGCTGTACCATTGTAGCTTCCAGCTAACAGTGTATGTGTGATCTAATATTTTCCATATTTTTTTGCCAGTATTTGGTATTGTCACTATTTTTTTTTTGAGATGGTACCATTAAATCCCTAAATTGCAAGGGGCTGGGCTCCGATTTGTGATCTTCCTGCCTCAGCCTTCCAGAGTGCTGAGATTACAAGTGTGTACAAACTACTTTTTTATTTTAGTGATTGTAATAGATTGTAATGATACATAATAGTGATTTTTAATTTTTATTTTCCTAATAGCTAATGATGTTTAACATTTCCGTGTACTTTTTTTTTTTTTTGCCATTTGTATATGTATCCTCTTCCGTGAAATATCTCCTTGTATCTTTTGCCCATTTTATAATTGGGTTTTAAAAAAATAACATGTTGAGTTTTAATGTTCTTTACATATTCTAAACACTGGTCCTTTGGTGAGGAGATAGTTTGTAAACACTGCCTAGTCTGTAGCTTGTCTTTTCATCCTTTTGGGATCTTCTGCAGAGCAGCACATTCAAATTTTAACCAAGTAAAATTGTGGTAGGCTGAATAATGGTTTCCCAAAGATGTATACATCCTCACTTCTGGAACCT